TCTAGTGTAAACACAGCAGCAGACTGTCTCTAATATCTGCATGGCTTCCAGGAGTGTTGACCTTTAGCCGTGCCCTGAAGCCGCTCTGAACATGGAGGAAGTCTGCCATGCTTGGTAGGTGTCTGGTAGGTCAACAGTGGGGAGGAGAGACACGGCGAGAGAAAGAATCAGGTGCAATCGGGTGATGCCTTGGGCTGCACTGAGTCATGGTGTGCCTCCCAGCTCTATGCCTTATGTTAAGGCTTTATCATTTCACTTGCCAAGGTCCTGACCTCCTGTACCCCATGATCGAGCCTCATTCACAGAGAACGGAGTCACCGTCACATTCCTGACATCTGCGGTGTTGAAAAGGATTAATCCAAAGGTCTAAAAAGAGAGTTAGTTGATTCATTGCCCTCAAGGGACTTATAAAGGAAAATTCTTCTCCATTGTTTTGAATTCAATGTCTTTGTTTGTTCGTTGGACAAATCTGTATTTGTATATAATTGTCCATACACAAATGATAAATCTCAATCCCAATCTATCTACAATAATAAAACAATTTAAAAAGGTCACCAAAGCCCTTGGGGAATTTTTGTGTGTCACTTCGAAAAGAGGCGCTAAAGCGACTCTGATAACCCCTTAATATCTCACCAGGGAAAGTTTCTTACTTAATATTTTTCCTAGTCATTTTCTCTGTCGTAGCATCAGCTTCTCTGCCTTGGTCACACACTCTACCTTTCTTTCTTCTCCTTTCTTTTTTCCTCCTGCCTCAGGGGTGCTTTAGGCAGGTCGACACCTCTGCAGGTGGGTCGTGGTGGGCCAGTTGACCTTTGTCTGTCATTGTTTCGCTCCTCACACCTCACCCAGGGAGAAGAGGGAAGGAGCCTAGTGCCTTACACCTGCCATTGGCTTTACCATCAGAGCGCTGGGGGTGCGTCTCGTTTCGGGCGTGCCAAAGACAGCGGAGAAGGTCCCCAAATGGTTTGCGTACTCAGCCAACAGTTGATAGATACTACACACACAGGGGTGGCATACCATGTGCAAGGTGGAGACAGTGAACCTCCGATGGCCTTATGCGTATTAGTCCGTCCCCCAAAACCAGCAACTGTCATGTCGATAACCACAAAAGCGATGTCGGATTCTGGACGTTATTTGCCTCTCTCCTTCTTCGCAAGATAAATCAAGTGCGCACCTCGAGTGAATAAGGGGATAGAGATGAAATGAAATAGCCAAATGCCGCCTCCGCCGGGGCTTGATTGAGTTCAGGTGGCTGGAAAGTGTCTCACCCAGGGCTAGTTGTCAGTGAAGGATCTGCTGTCTTCTCATCTCTCCGTGCTGTAGGGCTAACTGGTGAACGCCGGCTCGCGTTGCTTTTGACGGATGTTTGTGCGCCTCCTGCGCTGGGGGGGGACGGGCCGTTGACACACTTCATATTTCAAAGACAAGGTCTGGGGAAGAAATGAAGATTGATGCGGAAAAATGGCTCGGCAACCCATCGCCCGTTCCATACATATATTATAATTTACACATACGTGACACCTTTGTGCATGTCTGTACATCTATAAATACATATGCATGGGCAAGATCCAAGGCGTCGGGAGGACGGTGGTGGGGAGGGGTTCCCTCTGTTATTAGAACCATGTGATATAATTGCATTTGATCTCCAAATAAACAGGGAATCAGTCCATCTCCTCGCAGGAGATGGCAGATGTGATGGACGACCGCATTAGCGGCGAGGACAACATTAGATTTGCTCAAAATTATTGATCTTTTGTTTGTGAGCCAAGTCGGCGATAAATAACAGTGCGCGGGAGATGTGACTCATTATCACGGTGCCAAAAGCCCAACAGACCTCTGTCAAAACACACTCTCTTCCTCCCCCTCACCCACCACCACCCTCTCTTCCTCCTTGCTTTCATCTCCGTCTTTACAAACCAATTTAATCTGTTTTTAATCCTTGCCTCTTTTTTTTTGTTACTGGCGCCTTTTAACGCGAGGCCTCACTGTCACTATCTGATTCCCTTAAATTTTTAATCCTGCGCTGATAACCCCTTATTATTACACATTACACACTCACAGGACACTGGCGCGCACATATATGCGTATACACACGCCAAGTGTGTACGCGCGGCGTTTTAGCGGCCCTTTCAGTGTTTTTATTCCTTTTTTACCTTCTTAGCGAAGAAAAAAATCCTTTTATCACACAATGGGTAATTTATATCCATTACCAGCGTTTTCAATCCTTTTCAGCGCGGCTGTCACTGCCTTTGGCACACTCGTGATTAATGTGATCTAATAATAGTCTGCCATTATATTTCCTTTAGTAAAACATGTACCAACATCCTATTCAGCTCCACGAAATTCATTGCCCCCTTAAAATATTTTTTTCCCTTCTTCTTTTAAAAAACAAGATTTTATTTCCCTGTCATCTCATTGCCTACCAGGAGGTGATTATTTGTTGGAGGGGTGGGGGGGATTTGCAGACATTCATGTTTTCATATTTCTATAATGTAGCCATAGGTTAGCTGTAAAACACACTTTAAAGACAACTACCAAAACCTTCAACTCTTTCTTTTCATTCCTTTTCTTTCTTTTACAACATGTAGTTTAGAATGAGAGGAATGATGCTCCGCCTGGAATGTGCACAGGATTAGGTGTGTGTGTGTGTGTATGTGTGTCTGTGTGTTTTTGGGGAGGAGGCCCAGTAGTGGGCTCTGTTCCCTCCCAGCCGGACACCCTGAGCCAGTCTGCCACTCATGGGGCACGTTTCAGTCAGGACGGTGCCAACTCGTGAACGCACTCACGCACACACAAACACACACACATACGCACATGCAATCCTGGCGTCCTCTCACAAAGAGGGTTAACCCTTACTGGGCTCTCAGACTTGTATCCAGGATGAACAGGTGGTCCCACAAAACATGGGCATCCATTTCCTCCTGACTTATCCAAGAGTGTGTGTGTGTGCGTGTCTGTGAGTGTGTGTGTGTGTGGAGGGAGGGTTAGACAGGGCAATTTTCTTTTGTGTGGGAGCACAGATGATCGTAGCTTTGGGACACCTATTGTAATCACGTTGGTTTTGTTGGGTGCCATAGAGCTGCTTGGGGGGTTCTGCCGCTCTGTGAAATTGACATCAGATGACCGTCGTGACGAGATCACGCTGCTAATGCAAGGGCCGGTGAATGTGTGCGTGCAAGCATTTGTTTGTGTGTGTGTGTGTTTTCATCGACACTTGACCCCAGTGCCCAACTGCACCAGCTGTCAACACTCTACATCCCTTTTTTGGCTCCTGAATCCCTTCACCCAGGATCCCTCCATTAAAGATAACTTGTATTGAGCCACGTCTAATTCCCCTTCAATCCGCCTCCCCCTCAGTCTCTCAAGTGATCCTTTCCCAGCAGTGAAAATCGAAGATAAACCACTTCTAAGGCAAAAAAAACCCAGTGTGTTCCACTCTGAATGTTGTAAATATAATATATGTGAGGGCCGCATTGCTTAAAACGTGTCTAAATCAAAACGTTCACCACCTGACTGCCCGCGATAATGCAACTTCCACTCAGCATCTAGTGGTCACAACTCAAAGCCGAGGCCTTTTACTGCCTTTGACGAGTGCAGCCTTTCAGGTGGGGTTGGAAAAGCACTCCCTTTATTTGTTCTTTTGTGATGCTCCTGCAGCTCAGCCCCAGTCAGATCCCACACTCATGGAAAATATTAGTAAGGAAAGCGAATAGAAAGAGAGGTGCCAAGGGGAAAGATAGAGAGAGAGAGAGAGAGAGAGAGAGAGAGAGAGAGAGAGAGAGAGAGAGAGAGAGGATTTCTGTCCGAGTCAGCAGGTTTTAGTAAAGTCTGATTAAACGTGGTGAGAAAGCGGTTGGTGTAGTAAATGTTGCTTAATGACCTGGATATCTATTGAATACATGGAATATGTGAGTGCAGACCTACACAAGAGCTCTATTTCCAGTGTTTTCCCTAGGTTTAGGGTAGTGGTCGGGGCAAACAGTTCGGCCGATGGGGGTAGGGGTTCGTGTGGAACTGCAGTGTGTGCTGTTATAATGGTAGGGGAAACACTGATTTCTGTGTGGAGGTGGAGTTCAGAATCAAATATCTTGCTTTGAACTTTGTTCCCATCATGACTGCAGAATGCTCACAATTTAATAAAACTGTTTGCAATCAATATGCAGTACCCGATACTAGTAATTGTAATAACTTTCTGGATGCCCGAAATCTTGCTGAAAAAGCCCACAAACACAGAAAGTTTTCTGAAATGGTATGTCTAAATATACAATTATTTCCTACTTTGCATACATTTGTCAAACAGATATCCAAAAATTGAATGAAGCCAGGTTCAAAATGTATACTATTAATTATTTTCTCACTTTTTTTCAGAATAAAATGGTGTATAAATCAGGCTATGGATGGTATTTGAACATAGTCCGATGTAATAACTGACAAGAAAGAAACTGGAAAGTTGGTTGTTAGTTACTAAATCGGAGATGTCTGGGAAAGGACAAAACAAACAAACTCATTAAGAAAACCACAAAATGACACACATTTTGAAAACACAAAATAACAATAAAGGTAAATGGGCAATACATATTGCACTCTAATTTTTGATAATTAATCACAAAATTAAATAATGAAAGTATTGCATGAAAGGGTTTCTGAAATGTTATATTTAAATATATGAATGAGGCCAGATTGATTGCTGACCAACATCAGCAGATATATCATTTTCATGCTTAATATAATACTTATTTCACAGTTACAAGTTTGGTTCATACATTTCATTGCCTGTTGTCACTGGGTTAATGTATAAAATAGAAAATAACAAAATTATGGAAAAAAGCAGGTTGTAGTCGCACAGTCAGCAGTCGACTCACCTACCCCTCGTCTTTTGCTTAGGGGAGACCCCTACACAAGGAGGGGATGCTCGGTGCAAAGAGAGGGGAGGCTCAGGGCAGGGGGTTCAGGGGGGAACAGCACTTTCGTTATCCTCTCTCTCTCTCTCCCTCTCTCAGGACTGATCTGTGCCGACCAGGAGTGGAGCTGAAGCTAAGGGCTAGCTTAACGAGGCGAAGCACACCGCCACGCTGTCCAAGAACTCCCCCCACCCACCAACTGAGGTGACTAAGGGCTTTCACGGGAGAAGGGAATAGAGGGGGTGGTGGTAAGGGAAAGGAGAGATAGGGCTGGAGGGGGAGGAAGAGGGCACATCAGCTGCTGAATCACTCGGGTTCCCAGGTATTTAGTGGCAACACTATTCCTGCGTGGAGTTACCTCAAGTGGAGTAGAGAAGGAAATGAGGAAGGGAAGAATGATGATGGACTAAGAGAGGCGAACTGCCTTCGGTTATTCACGCTACGATGCAATCTGTGTGGGGTGATCATGCGGTTGATCATGATAATGACACGCGCACACACACACACACACACAGCAGTTGGCTGGGGCAGCCGATGAACCTGCACGGGCATATCAACTGATAATTCCTATTTAATCCCATCAGTTGTCCTACTGGGTTACTGTTCTGTCTTTAAGTCCAAGCTGGCCGCCTGTCTCCTGTCAATTGGCGTCCACACCAGACGCAGGTAACATATAGGTATGCACCCTGTGATTCCACCTATACAGAGGAGGAGTGCAAAGAGGCCTAGGGAGGTGTGAGGAGGACGTTGGAGTCTGTCTGACTGAGCTGAGCGGAAACCCTACAGGCCTTGGAGACCCGGTCCTGACACTCTGGCATGCTCCTTAGGCCCCGAGGTTAGTTCACCCAGCATCTATTTGTTGCCCAGCTGTGGAAAGTCCTTTGCTGTCATGGCAGGAATATCTAGCCACAGTGTGGATGAACATGTAGCGTGTATGTGTTAATAGCAGGTGGCCCTAAAACGCGTGGTTGCGGCTGTTATTTATTTCGGTTGATATTGAAGTGGGGTTGACGCGGGTGACGGTTAGGCTGGATCCAGTACAACGACAAAGTTAGAAAATTAATTTTTTCTCTCATCCTTTTATTCTTTACATACACACACACACACACACACACACACACACATATGCCTGTGTGTTAGCGTGTGTGCAGCTGTGTGCAGCTCTAAAGTGAAGCATTAGGAAAAAAAAAAAAACCTGAATAATTTAGAACTCACATTATTTTCTAATACCATTCTTTAGAATCTGACTGTGTCACTCTAACAAATGCGTGTGTCGGAAAGTTCAGAGGATTTTGTAGGGCGCCTGTGAACAGTGAGTGATGGCAACCAGCCAACTCTCAGCTCCCTCTTGTCTACCGACAGCTCCATGTGAGCCCTGTGCACCATACTCCTTTCTCAAAACCAACGCTGCGGCGAATTGAAACAAAAAGGCCACATATTTTATTTATGTGTCAAAAGTGCGGTGGAAAGGAGAGCAAAAAAGAGGGAACGGAGCGTATCACTCTATCCTTCGGTTGATATCATTCCATCCATGCGGATCAATTCTCCCAGACAGAGGGAGATGAGAAAGGAGCAAGCGCAAGACGGAGGGAGGAAGGGAGGAGAAGAGGGAAGGAAGGAGAGCTGAAATGGTGGTCGTATTGATTTGTCAAAGAAATACAGCGTAGAGTGTTTTGCTTAAACGTCCACATAAACCTGAGCTGTCAGAGGTGGGTGGGACTTTGCTGACATTTGCCCACGCCGACATAGATGTGCATTTTCTGCTTGGCAGAGCTCTTCACAGTCCTACCCGTCAACTTCATGTTGAAGCCCCAGTCACTCCAAACAGCATTCTGTGGCATACTGTGCATCCAAAGTCCCCAGTCTCCATGAATTTACCACATAGGCCAACCACTTTAGACTTTTCACACTTACATGACAAAAATCGGAACTCTTATTTCCACCTACTTGAAGCTTTCAACGACATCTCTCAGTGTTCCTCAGCAGATTGTGCTCACACATATAACCGTTGGTTTCATTTAAGTTCTATGAGATAATTTTCATTTCCTATCGTCACTACAATCACCATTTTCTACTAACAAATACATAATTAACGAGAAGCACGGAAATCTGATATTCACGGGACTTCCGGTGTTATGTTCTCATACTCTGCGGCAGAGTAACGGAGTATGATTTGCAACTAGACCGTGTCATCAAGTCTTACAATCATAAAGGTGAAAAGGACAGGTGAAAGGAGACACAATTTTAACTGAGACCAGAATTGAAACCAGAAGTGAGCTATTTATTTAAGTAGTGTAGGTAATGCCACAATTTGCATAATTTTAACCCTTGACCTAACCTAAACTAATATTTTATGTTAATGGTCATCCACTAATAAAAAAAAATGTTAGTAATATTATTTTTAACTTTTTGACTGAGACGAGAGAGCGAGAGAGAGACAGAGAGAGAGAGAGGGTAGTTGTGGACCTGTGTTTTATTATTGATTTATTGACAACATTAATGTAAAGGGCTGCTTTACAAATGAAGTTATTCGGTGAATTATAGAACTGATTGGCTTTAAAACAAATTTGCGTCAACTGTTAATAACCAACACCCTACTTAAAAACTTTTGCAAGATAACATACCAACATATGAGGTCTTTAATTACTCCACGAAAGAGTAAATAGCTAAAGCAACCTTAGAAAGATTCTTAAACAACAACACAACGACATTGTGTTAAGATAAAACCTCAATTAAGACCAACCACGCAAATTGAGCTGACTGTGGTGAAACTCCTACATCTAGAAAAGAGTAAGAAATCAACTTAATAGGTTCACGGAATCTGCCAGTGATCCTGTCGTGTTTATCCTCTCTCAAAACATGTAGTCAGTCCCATATTTAACTGTGGAGGGTTAGAGATAAGCTCTGCGACTACATACCGGGCAAGAGGACAAGAGCGGAGGAGGGCGATGAAATTAAGGAGCATTTAAAGAAAACTGGAGAAAAGAGCAGAGTGTGCACTGGGCCATAAAAGGGATAGTTTAACCATTGATCGAGAGCAGTGGTGGAAATGGCAGCTGTAAATCAATTTTATCTTGGAGCAGCTAAAGAGTGTTTTCTAATGAGGTTAATGCCACATAATGGCTAAATTCTTCTGCTTAAAAGATGCCCTCAAGGTGGTGGCGAGAGATAGATGTCGCCATAGAAAGCTTAACACCTCACTATTCAAAACCAAGCAGACGGAGGCCTTCTTCTGTCAGGAAAATTGTTTCCTAAGTGATGGTAATCCTTTATTTGTTTGAAGGTTTCCGGGGGTCAGTAAATCATCCAGCACACCTTTGTCTAGACAGCTGGCTGTATCGATGGACAGATAATTCTGTGGCTAAGATGAACTATGATTGATAAACTCCTCTCCGACAAAAAAATAAATAAAATACAAAAAATATTATTTTTAACAACTTTTCAAAAAAGAGCAGAAAAAGTGGATGATGAAAGCGATTTTTTTTTAACCGCTTGTCATATCTGCGCTTGGGTGGGTGGGCTAGCATGTCAAACTGGAACGGGCCCGAGTACTGAAAATACAAACTGACCCAATAAATAGATTATTTATAGATTATAAATCAAGTTGACCTCTGGCAAATAGTAATGTTGATGAAATCCTTTGCGTTTTGGGAAATAGGGCCTGAATTGCCGTCTTGAATTGCAAGTTACACACACACCTGCTCACCGACACACACAGGTTTTCCGCAGTACTGCACACAGCACAAGACTGGAATTAACATTTAAGTGAATTTTAAACGATGTAAGACACAAATATGAATTAGATGAATTGTCTACATTCCAGACTGGCTTTCTTATGACTTAAGCGCAGGTCACTTAAGGCTTCTATGGCAGTAGGAACAAAGTAGGAACAAAGCTCATAAAACAGAAGGCCCATCAGGGGTCCAGTGCGGCCCGCTGGATGACTTTGCTATTGTGAGAATTACAGAAAGACATACATTGCATTTCTATAAAGGTAGCACTCTGTTAGTGAGTGCATGCGAACAGGGGTGCCCAACGGCTGATTGCCAAGGCAGTGCCGGTACCATCAGCTGACACCACTGCCCCCCCCATCGCCCCTAACATAGCCTTTCATTTTGCAAGTTTTGACCACTTGAGATCAAAGTGGGCCGTATGTGGCCCGTTACCTAAAAGGAGTTTGACACCCCTAATCTAGATCATGTCTGAACAGAGAGCAGGTTACACAATCAGCAAAGTTGGGTTCAGAACTACCAGACATTGGCAGCTAAATTAGTTATCTGAACAAATCTGTGCCCATTAGGGACTGTAAGCATATGGAAAAAACAGATGGCACCATACAGAAGAAGTGGTCCAAAAATGCAACAATACAGGAGAAGAAGATGAGGTTGCAAAGACAAGTGATTTAGTTTATTGATGGCTGTATAAGTGTCTGTTGATGAAGCTTGTAAGGGTCCATGGTGGGCTGATTAAAGCTGAGTTCATGACAATGTAATTCCAAGATGAATGAAGTCTCGACCATCTCCACTTTCGCTCTTTTGATGGCAACATTTGTGGGGTATATTATTCTTTCAGATATCTTATCCTGTTTTTCAAAGCTTATCCAAGGCTTGGTCATTTTGGGGAACAGGCTAAGCCAAATAGCCGACAAACAAACTTAGTTACGGTGTTCTTCCAGTGTTCACGGACCTTCTAGGCTATATAATGCCCCAAGTAATGGTATGCCATGATGTCTTTTCCAATATGGATGTGCCAGGAATACCTCCACAAAGATTTGATACCCAAAACCCAATGTTTTCTTCACAACACAAGCAAACGTAAGATGCTGTTGTTTGGTGATCCTGCATCTTTACTTTTATGCGTTCGTCCCATGATTGTGTTCCTCTGCACTACTTGCTGGGTTGAGGCAGGGTTGAGTCGGGGATAAAGGAGGAAGCTTTGAGAGTCAACAAGTACCGCAACTTCAACCGATACGTGCAGGGATTCCCTAAGCATCCGGTATCAAGACTAATCACAAGCTAGCTAGCTAGCTGGCACGTCAGCAGACGCGATCAGGTTCAAATATTACATTACACAAATTACATTAGATAGTAATGGAAGCATATGGAATCATCTTTGTCTTCAGTTAGAGTGATCCGAGAGGTCTATAAGCTGTAAACTAGACTCCACAATAAGGTTGTTGACGGCTAGCGGCTCCTAATTTCGAAATGTGATGTGGAGAGTCGGTGGATACATTGCTTTACGGGAGAGGCTTGGAGGGCTCAGGTGCTGTCAAACAGGCTTAAGGAATTCTGATTCATACCCGTCACATGGATGTAGCATGAATGTGCGCTATTTAACGGTTAAATTAGTTCAATGCTGACCGCATACATCGATTGAAGTAAATCATACTCATTTATTGCTAAGTATCGAATAGCAAATCATTGATAAACAATAATGGGGTCGACATGGCGCAGGGGTAGAGAGGGTGCGCTGGAAACCGCAAGGTTGATGGTTCGAGCCCTGGCTGCTCCATGTCCCATGTCGAAGTGTCCCTGTGCAAGACATCTAACCCCTAATTGCTCCCTGGGCAAAAATGTAAGAAGCCATGGGTTCAAAATGCAATGTAAATTGCTTTGAATGAAAGTGTCAGCTAAATGACATGTAATGTAATGTATTTTTGAAATAATGCTATCGTATAGCACAGTGTCTGCCAACCACTCAGATGTGTGTGTATGCAATCACATTTCTTCTTGTACAACCAGCGTGTGCCATGAAACTTAAGGAAAGTTCATCTCCACAGACCTCTACCATTGATCACTGGGGCCCTAAAGCTATTATCATGATCTAATTAGGTTT